GGGACGCTACAGTAGGAAGATACACTTTTTAGGGATACTGGGGTTGTGAAAAGCGTTTTGGTGCAAAGATCACGTTGCGGAGGCGTCGTCATTATTCGCCACAACAGACGGTAACTCAGAGCGTATGTACCCCCGATCTGTTTTTACCTAATTAATGACTACTAGTAAAAATGACTTCGCCCAATCAGTCTGTTTTTGCAAAGGCTTTGAAGCCGGAAGAGAAGGTTATAAACGATGGTTACTACCACATTACTAACAAAATGTTATCGAGTTCTGTACTGTATGGCGGAAGCTCCACCAGAGGCAGAATAGTAAACCACGGCAACAGCACGTTCCAGTGCAAACATCCTCACCTTTCTATTTGTTTGTGTCAAAGTAAGAGTTAATTATATTCTTTTTCTATAATAATCTTACTTTAGCGAGACAAATAAATACATTCAAGTAATTTTTAGCTTCATACACACAGTGCTTTCTTAATTCGTTAAACCAAGTTTGATTACGTGGACACCTAAGTCTCTGCAGATTGTTCTCCCGCTTAGTGATTTGGCTTTTGGTCCATGCCAGTACTCTCCTAACTCTTCTACATCGAAGTAATGTATTTCCTGTTACACTGCTATGCCTTTCATGACTTGAGGAAGGACCTGAAGCTCTGCATCCCCCCCCATCAAAAGCTTACTAGGATTTAATTCATTGCTCTAATTGACCCAAAGTAAATGAAAATTCGTGCGATTTGATATAATTGTGCTGATGGAGTGCAGCGAGTAAGGCTAAGAAGGGTCGTATTAATACGGTGCAAAGAAAGTTCATTTGTTGCCCTAATTGCAATTTTGAGGAAACCTACCAAATTTTTAAATAATTTGAAAAGCTGCTATTATTATCTTTTGCTTTAAATGTTCTTAACCATTTTTTTATGGTTGTTACCATTGATAAGCAAGTGGCAGTAAAAGTTACGCATTGGATGCTTCTTTTGGCACACAATTTTTGAATATTCTGGCCATACGTGGTTCTGGAATTTTAAATTTTTGCTGTGATATTCAATGAAAAGTATTTTGTTTACACTTACAAAATTTTTGATTTATGTGCAGATGCCGCTTCACCCCTTCCCGAGTGAGGCGGCTTTTTCAACAGCGGCCTCTGCCGTATGTTTATTTTTTGCCTTTTAACAGGGCAAAAAATTGCTTCTTTACACGGTCTTTAGGTTGGGTTTTGAAGCTTGTGTTGTCACATATGTAGAACTAGATTGTCTAACGTCCTATGAATTTTAGGGAGTTAAAATTTCTTGGAATTTGTTTGCTAGCGTATCCCATCTTTTGGTCACAGCCGACTTTCGTTTCTTCTTATGGAACTGCTGATTTTTAGATCATTTAATTTTGCTTTCATGCATCTTATAGTCAAATGGAAAATGCATTTGAGCAAACCATCATTAATCGTCTTCGGACTCTCAATCACACCCAGCGCTCTATCGAGAAGACTTCCCGTGCTTTTTTAAAAAATCGACACATGGCAAAAGAGCTTGTAAAGCTCTGGTTTAAGGAATTTCGTGCAGGTAATCCCTGTCTGCTTATAACGCGATTTCCTAGCCGCTGACAAACTAAAACTCGCTTTTCTTCACCTCGTCAATGACGTTCTCGTAAATGGATCTCAAAAGGCATCACAATTCGCCCAACTCTTTGAGCCTGTTCTTAATTATGCCTTTCGAGAGACTGCTAGTGTTCAATCGCACCACATTCGATCGGCCGTGGCGCATTTGTTGGTCGTATGGGCCGAACGACAAATTTACCCGCGCCCCTTCTTGCGCCAGCTCCGCACCTCTTGTCAACGAGCCGCTTCACAGGCTGACACACGCAATCCGGTGAGCGCATTACCAATGATGATTTCTTTCACAATGTGACGCTCACGTTCGACTTTCTTTTTTCTAGGCGAAAAGCAGTTCGAAACCCTCTCCATTCGATTTCTCCTTTACCTGCGCCCTCATCAACGCCTCTGCAACCACGCACCAGCCGCCATCTCTCTCTCCCGCCCTAATCTCCACCACCCCCACACTTGATGTGGGTAGTGGTGGTTCCATCTCGCCCTACGCCAATCTGGCAGTGTTCAGGGAGGAGTTGCAGCACGATCTGGAATTAGAGGCAGTGAAGTTACCGGAGACCGGGGAGTTGATTAGACAACTGGAGGCGCTGCAAAGCGCTCCCTCGGCTAACGCGATTACACGTCAGAAGATTTCGGAGTTTCCTGAGGAGGTCTCGGATCCCCAAATGGTGACAAAAATGCTCTCAGAGGGTGGTGAGTCAACGCGATGCTCGGTAGTGTTTAGCTAAGAGCTTGATTGGTGTCAGCCCTGGATGTCAATCATACTTCATTTAGGTGTTGTGTTTTGAGTAAGAATACTAGTAGTATTCTCCTGCGGCACCTAACTTGTCCCAACTTTGCAGTTTACTCTTCATCCTTTAGTGCTTTTTTTCGACCAAAATAGAGTATAAAAAATTGATTGCAACTAGACATAAATGTTTGTGTTTGCGGTAATACTGTGCCTTCTTTTCCTTTATTCATCGTAATTTAGGACAATTAACCAAAGGCTTTGTATCCGCCTTAGCATCAATGTTGTGAGTACTTTTAGGCTGTCACCTTAGGAACGTGCGCCGCTAGTTTTAGTCGAAGCCAAAATATCTACATTCACTTCCTTTTTTAGTGAGGCTTTGCAGTGTTGAAGTGCTATGCTTTCTTATGGATGCATTTGTGAATGGGAGTGATTTCATTTAGTAATATCGCGTATAATACCCAAATTTCATCGAAAGTTGTGATTGATTCCATATGCGTCCTTAAGTCCTTGTTCGTCATAACTAGTAGAGTATTTCGAAATTATGCACGGGGCAAAGCGCCCTCCATAAATTCCACTTCATTTGATATCGCATATTGACGACTTGCTGGCAGGTTTCCTTTACCCCTTGACCACTTTATTCGGACAAATCACTTGATCAAACTCTCCTTAGGAGTAGAAAGTGTTTCAAATCAGCATTTGCATGCTTGAAGGTGACTTTTTTTGTATGCAAAGTACGACAACTGATATTCACCTCTTGTGATTCAAGAGAGTTAATCCATGTGTCAAGTGTTAGGGTCCTGTGCTTGTTGTAATGCCAGATGTGATTTAGTAAGCCTTACCATTTTTTCCAGGCTTTTATTAATAACTCTGTAGAATACCTTAGGTTTCTTTGAACAGTTAATTTCCATGCCTCTATGAACTTTTGTTGATTAAAGTGAAGGCTAGAAATGGATTATATGCTGATAAAACATCCCAATTAGTCGAAAAATTGCAAAAATATTCCGAAGTCGAGCACAAATACCGCTTTTATTTGTGTTCTCAAATCCCAAAACTTTGCACTTGTTTTCAGATTATTTTACGAGTTGCTACCGAGCAATATTGATGTTGGTTTATTAAGCCTAAGTCACTCAAACAGGGAGTAATTATTCATATTTGCGGTATTAAAGAGTCTTCTTCCACCGTAAAGTGGGGCGATCGCCCGACTCCGTTCTGATCAGATCTTCTTGACTCCTCATAGAATTAAATAAAGCGAGAATTTTGTGGCACATCACCTTAGAAGGGACGTTAAACACCTTGGTTCTTGAGAGCACTAGTTTTGGGTGGAGTAAGATAACTGACAATCACTTAACTTATTTTCTCTGAACTGATGTTTTACGCGTTAGCGTTGCGCTGTTACGGAGTGGCAATCCTTTCACAGAGCCTCTGCAAGACGTCGCGAAATCCCAAGTCTACCACATTTTACCACCAATTTTTGATACTTCAATGGGTTTTTGTTAGCCATAAGTGAGGATGAACCTCTTTTTTATTTTGAAATCGAATTTGTCTAATCTCTGTGGCGCAATTTGGCGTATGATGCTACTAATTTGTTGATAAGTAACACTGGTTATTTGACTATTGCAGTTGATCAGAAGACCATGGTTGAACGAATTCAAACCGCCCTGCGCCAATTGGAATCATACAACCGCAGTCTGGACGAAGAGATGGTTCAGCGCCACAATCTGAATTTGAGTCTTCGTGCCTACAAAAAGGCACTACTAGAGGCTTGTCAACAATCTCGAGCATGTATTCAAGTAAGGGCACTGAATTCCTTGTCTTTGTGACGACTTACAAGTGAGACACCTCGCCATTACTCTTTGTTCACCTTATTCACTGCCGGTAGCATGTGAACCTTATTAAAGGCATATTAGTAAGTAGCTCTTCCGAGCGTACGGATGGGGTAGAAAGTGTGACAATTTGTCCGCATCATTAGCATGAAGGCTGTGGGGTCCTGTGTAGTTATGCACACTGTTAAAACAGCTTCCACTATTACGCATACTTCGCTTCTTTCGCTGAATAAATTCCTCTACCTAGACCATCTTAATTGTTCCGGGAAGTCGTAGTCAATCGCGGGATAAAAACGCAGACATTGTGACGAATTTGCATCGTATCAAAAGGTATTCAGTCTGCAGCGACCAAGCAGTCCATTTGGGCGTAAACCTGCGAAGTATCAACGGAACCTGCCATATTCCTCTCAGGAGGTGGAAACTATTAGAGGTTGTTACCCTACACTGACTCTAATGTAGCGTTCAGGTAATCTCCGAGATGTGAATGTAGCTTTATTGCAACCGGGTAGAGGCGTTAAAAGCCTAATAGCATACGCGGTGCGGAGCGAACTCCATGCGAAGACTAGTGAATTTAAAAGCTAAGTGAAAAGGATTTCATTCACAACCAATAGCAAATAGGTGCTTCAGACATGCAGTGCTTGATGTGAAGAGATGGCAGAATGCTAAGTCATGAAGCCTACTGTTTCTTGTGCTTCTTTTGCATTTTTGCCGTTTAATTTCCTAGAACATTCGCGAAAAGCAGGCCTATGCGACTTCCCTGCAAACGAGTTTGGACAGCCATTTGCGAAGTCTGCCAGACGATCAGAAATACGAGAGTGCATTTCTGGCACCACTGCCCTCCGTTGGTGATCTGTTTCGTTAACATTGCCACTCATTAATTTTATACATATACCTATCTATACACATTCCCTTCCTTTTTAGTAGAGGGACTTTGTACTTATGTTTTGAGTGCCTTTTAATGAAAGAAATATTGAGTTAAATAGACTATTTTTAGACGATTGTCAAAGTGTTAATCAGGAAAACGTTTGCAGACATTTGCACTCCCCACTGCTAGAAGTCATCATAAGGTCAAGTTTTTTTACGTGCGTCTGCTCCCCCGATGTGTTCTGGGCGAATCAAGGAATTTTGGTAGTTTCTAGTACAATTTAAACTTTTGTTGATTAATGCCGTTTTGATTCGTTAAGACTCCAAACATTCCCACCATTCAAACAATAAACCATTCCTCACATTCATATCTTCACCTTCAAAGAAAAAAAGCAATCAAACATAAATGTATTATCAAACCAGATGCAGATAACATTCATCAAAAAACAGTCACATCTATCGGTAGAATCGTTCGCTATCATCACCCAACTTATACCGACATAAATCAAGCATCTCGCGATCATCATTAATTGAATGTTGCACATTGTTGGGATAGTCTGCGATGTCTCCTCCGGATCGGTACTTCGATGCTAGAGCCGCTCCAACCACTGAACGCGAGAGGATGCAGACCATGGTGGAGAAGATGGACTGCAGTGCGGTGCACAGCATGAAGACATTCCATAGGGTATTTGATGCCGTCAACAGGGCCACTAGAGCCGTACCCCATACTAGCAGCTGCCCCAAGCACGTTTTTAGTAGGGCAATGAGCCTCTGTTGTCGTTTCATTCCCTTGCTCAGATTATCCAATGTTGACCATCGTCTCAGTGCTACGCATATGACCACGAATTGGACTAGAAGTAGGAGGACTGCTGGTGTGAGGAAGAAGTAGAGGGTGTCGGTGCTGGCTACGAAACTGCAAGCGACTCGTTGTGACCTCACTGCGCTAGTCGCCCCACTATCTCCAACGCTGTCGGCAGAACCGAGAAGAGTTGACTCGTTTATCACAGGAAAAGACTGTTGGATAGTCATGCTAAGCGGCACAGCAAAGATGCAGACCAAGGCGATAGCATTGACCCAGGTTTTGCGAAAGCAGCCAATGGAACGATGGGAGGAGTCTGAATGGAAGGAGAAGATGAAGCCAATGATGGCGGAGAGGGCCTGGGCGGACAGGTTGACAAGATAGCCGAAGTTTGCGGTCAGGAGGATGATTGCAAAGCTTCGACTTCCTATGTCAAGACTGCAGCAGACCAGAGTTAGGAGGGCGGAGATACTTAGGAAGATTTGACCGAGGAAGTAACCCACACCGTAGAAATGTCGTGCCTAGGGAAGTCGAGAAGGACATTGAATGTGCAGACTTGGGGCGGTTTCATGTAACACCCAGTCCGAAGACTGCAAGATCATCAGGTATTGAGCACCGCGGTAAACAAAAACATGCAAAAGGCTGCTTTCGTCAGTGACGTTTTCCACCGTGGAAGTTGGTGCTCAGGCTACAGCGTTTATTCCCGTCAACGTTCTAGTCAGCGTATGGAGCTTCTGATTCTGGATGTCTGAACAAAATAACCTGTTGCAAAGCAACTTCATGGGAAGAGTGAGCACAATCATTCTCGTAAACGAAATCCTTGTCCACAATGAGTACCTAAACAGTTTTCTGCTTTCGCCTACCAACGAAGCGTTCATATTGCTGCATTAATTTGAAGGCGCATTTTTACAGAGAAGCTTCAAATCCTCTGGATTGCGCTACAAAACACGAGTAGATCATTTCATGCCAGCATCAAAGCAAACATTGGAGCAGTGAACATGCGCTCTTTCACCATCATTTCAGCACCGATTGCAAAGTGAAGCAGGTCGTGCTGACTAGTTTTTCCATGTTGAAGCCTCCCCGGTATTGGCGGGGCACTGGGATATGCGTAAATGTGGAGCGGGTCTGTGCCGAAAGGTGTATTTTGCACTCTGAAACTGCTATTGTCTTTGACGAGTCTAGAAGTTCCGCTTTGGCTTGAGTGACTTGAGGAAATATCATGGATGAGGAGGAGGAATTTCAGTCAGATTAAGCAGCGTTGTCGGGTTGAGCACTACCACGCATCATTACAAATGACTTCTCCGGATCAAAGGGATTAACTGCGGTTGTAAATCTAGTGTTGGATCTCCAAATAAGTCCGTCAGTTTATAGTTTTTATTTAGAATGGGTCCTTCGAGCAATTATCGTGACCCAAATAATTAACTTTCAACAGTTCTAGACAAATTTTCTCCGAAGATTTTCTTTCGGCCTTTACCGAAAGCCTTAATGTGGTAAGCTTATTTACTCCTCTATGGTTCAAGTTTCTATTCGCTCACCACAATATGACAAGTTGATCATGTCCATGGGGCACATAACTGTCGCCTGACCTCTTCGCTCTTCGGAATCTCCATTTTTTCCGCACTCTTGCAATGTTTCCCTAATTTAAGTCATATCGTTACAATAGCTTTAAAATGCTCACCAAATCAAACGTGACTTTCAAGAAGAGCCGGGAAGTGGACCCATACAGGCGGAAAAAAAAAGCCGTTTTTTGTGCCTCCGAAACAGGACGACCACCCCGACGCCGCTATGCGCGCTGGGAATGCATGGCCGTCCCAACGTATAAACAAGTGGCCATTTCCCCCCGCCCACTCCCATTCCCCTGACGTCACTTTATTGCAGAATTATTTAGGAGAAGGCCAGAGTGCTCAAGTTTTATTTGGCTGGAAAATATTCCGGACGAATTGGATCTTTTGATTTCAACCTAAGTTGCTCCAACGATTTTGGTATAATATAGAAATTTAATGAGATCTACGCATTGGAGACAAGTTGGTGGGCAATCCAAAAAGAAAGATGTTCATGAGGTAAAGTTACTTCAAAATTTATCTACTCTAGGGTTTTATAAATTAATAATGTAAACATTTTCTACAAATTCTGGTCCAACTCTCTTGGCTCACCTCAAATGACTTCAGGTAGGCGAATCGAGACAGAATGCCTCAGCGGAAAGAGAAGGCTTCTCTAGTTCAGCTCAAGCCTAGTGTTTTCCGGATTCGAAAAAAGTATTTCGACAGGGAAAAATTAATACCCACATTCTTCCACTCCTTCACCGTGCGGTTAAATGTGTCCACATGCATTCATGAGTTGGATGTTAATGTGGATCGTCCTGTAGCATTGTGAGTTGCTATGACTGCATCACCGTGCTTCATAAAGGGTGGGAGATCTGCCGTTGAAGTCATTACAAATCTTTGGTGTACAGTTCCCGCAATACCCATGGGTAGCCACTGACGACGTCGGGACTACTCTTTCAACAACAGCCTGAGCCTCATTAAATAGGCCTCACAAGGACGAAAGGAGTCAATACGGAGGAGGCAAAAAGCTACCAATGTTTGACCACTCCAACCCGCTCAAGACTGTCTGCTCCAAGGTCTCTCAAGTTATGAACATTCGATCGCTGAATGCAAGTCCCAACTGGAGTCGCTTGGTGCTACCTGTGTCAAGATTAAGTGAACTTAGAATCGCCAGTAAGATCCAAATCTGGCGACAGAATCGTTGTGTCACTTGAACACTCAACCAGGCATTTCTAATCCAAGGCCCAGTTCCCAGTGTCTGATCCCATCTAAGCGCTATCACATGACAAATCATTCTTTAAGCGCTTAGTCAAAGGTGGTAGAAACTCCCGCCTATTTTTAATTCCCCCCGATCACTTTAACAGTGAGAGACACAAAAATACTTAAAACAAGTGAAAACGACTTGGATATTTTCCACTTTTTGCTTTTGAGGACCCTTGTGTACGAAAGCCACTACTTCTGCCTTCTCGAAATTGCCTTATATTAAGGCGCCGAATGAAAAAGCTAACGAGCATCCTCAAATACGACAACATCGTTGGTTTTGGAATTTGGATGTTGAGCTCTCGACCTCCATAACCATTCCTGTATCTACCACAAAAATAAGTTGCTGCACGGACAGGGAACATTAAATTTGCCTTCGTTTCATTACTTTCACGACCCATTAAGAAGCCTAGGTGGCTATAAATAATTACGCCCTGGAGTAAAAAACTAACATTCGAGAGGAGAAAAGGTGGAATGGATTGACCTTGCAAACCCAGTTAACCCCTCCGATGATACACACCTGATTGGAGGGAATGCGGTCGAATTTCCCACTTTCGTCAATGTCATCACTTAGGTAAGCTCATTCTAGGAAGTGAAGGATTAGCCTTGATCGGCTTGAGTTCTTTGACTACGTAAGGCAATTACACATGAACCCGCTGACCGCTTCGACATGGGAATTCGCATAAGTAAACGACTTCTACAAAAAGCAGTATGGTTTTTAAGTCAGAACTGTCGAAAATGTGTGCTGGTACCAAAAAAATTGGATTATTACTGATGCTGGAAAAAAAAAGAGTTAATGTCGTTTCATTTAAACAATAAAAGGAGGAATAAAGGTGAAAATAGTGTGTTTTAAGCCTTAATAGAGTGCCCAAAAATCGTATTGCTACTTCACTCTTACCTTCTTGAAGGAGATGAGCGTCACGAGATGGATCAGCAGAAAGCTGAAATTCACCCCAAAGCAGATGTGTGTGAGCATGTAGGAGTCTGCATAAAAGACCTTCCTTTGAGTAAGCGTGTCGTTAGACTTGAAAGCTGCTTCGTCTGCGCCATCATCCATGGCTGTGACAGCAACGGTCAGGCTAATGAGCGTCCCTACGGCGATGGGAGAATCGTCCGGACTTATTCCCCATCCTCCCTTTGTACACAGAGGGTAGCGTGTAGGGCTGCCACGCGCGCCTCGCCAATGCAGGCGCCCCATTGGCTGGGAGGCAAAACACCAGGCCAAATTGATCGACCAATCAGAGGTCTCGGTGATTGGTTGACCTTAGGTGGAATTTACGGAAACAGCGCAATCAACCAAGACTGATCAAAGTGCGCCTGTAATTTTCTACTAAGGGAGTAAATTTAAAAGATTACTTGAGGTTTAAGTAATTTTTGAGGGAAGTAGTTTAAACCAAGTTATTTGTGCTTATTTTAAGTGTTGTCGAAGTGGAGGAGGAGCCCTTAGTTTCGCATTCACTATTGCTGGGGGTACAACCAATTAGTATTTTACAGGCCGGATTTATTTTTAATGATCCATATGAAGTCGTATAGCCACAGTTCGGTATAATATTCTGGCCTTAGGAAGGAATTTTCGTTGTATGCATACTTCCAAACAGGACCAATGAAGGGAAATGCTTGGGGTAAATGCCCTCATTTTAATTCTAGTAACTGGGACTCACATTTACACAACTTCTGTGCAAAAAACTTACGTTATGCTAAAAAAATCTGGGAGTATTTAGTGGTATTTTAAGTCCTCATTTAATGCCCAAGTTATGATTTTTTTGAAACAGTATGTTTTTACAACAATTCACTTAAAATCAGATGATGGCAATATGAATGATTTTCCTTGCTAAATTGGGATTGTAAATTGAGACCGGATGAGTATGTAATTTTCTAAGTGCGCATAACCCTTAAATTTCATAGAATCCTGGGAAGCAACTCATTTTGTGTCTTAAATAATGGTTTAAATAGTGTGAAGAAGTGATTAGCATCTCGATTTCTCATTCGCTTGCCCACTTTTGACGGGATAAATAAATAAGAGTGATCAAAAATTCTCGGTAATGATTAAATTAATCATTGAACCTGATTTTCCTGAACTAAATCAACCATCCAGAAGGCAGGCGAACGAAAAACCTTCCTCCTAAGACTTAATATAAAGCCAAGTTTTCTCACGAAAAAGGCACTAAAGTATCGTTTGAAGCGTAAAAGATTTGTGTGAATGCGTGATTCTATTTAGCCATGGGGGTGAAACAATTTGGACTTGGTGGGTTTTAAGCATGACCTTACGGGCGCTTTGTTGGTCGGAAGTACAGCTTGTTGGGGTTTACGAACCCGCGTGGTCAAACCACTATGATGGTACTCAACTTCTGAGCTTCTGCCTCGCTATTCCCATGGTCATTCTTTTGTTTCGGCCATCAAAATGTGATCGGTGATCTAAAAACCGCCCAGGAACTGCAGACATTAATTTTTATTTTTGACATGAAGACTATTTAATTCCTCAACGGTTCCATCTTTTCCGGAGTCTTGACTCTTTTGTGAACCAAAGTGTTGAAGAGAGGAATGAGTTCCCTGGTCTTGTACAGCTCAAAGCTAAGAGGTGCACCATAACCAGCATATTTATGATGACTACAGGCAGAAACATTTGAAAAACCACACTATTTGCGTCTATTCCTCCGTTCTAGCTTGCCCTCATTCCAAAGTTGTTTAGGCATCTATCTGCACTCTTTTTGGACATTAGCGATGTGGAGAGAGTATCATGTGTTTACGGATTTCACATACCTCCGCATTAATGTGATGGCAATACCATAATGGACGTCCTCGAATTGGTAAATTCTAGTGTAGCTACAGTTGCTAACTGCCTTCATGCAGAACAGAAGATTTCGATGCTTCCCAAGGCTGAGTGTGGCTTTGGCATCCTCTCCGCTGTAACTATTCCCACATCTATCCATCCTTAGCGAGACGTCCTCCTTACGTAAAGTTAAGATCTAAAAACAGATCAGAGTAATCAAGACAGTTACCCATTTACATCTAGTTTGCTTGTCACGCTCACTGGTGAAGCGTCCTGAGGTTACCTGAAGTAACGAACCGTACCAGCCTGAATGTACAGAAGGCCTTGAAGACTACAGGTATACCCAAAGAGCCATTTCGTGGAGTGGAGGTACAACCTGGTGAGATTGATGTAATATATACATAGTGGCTTTTCACAAACCATGTTTTATCAGATTTGTGAATCAGATAGACTTGATGTAACAAAAAAGCATTGGCGGTTCGTAAGGCCTTCAATAAGACTTTCGTCTAATCGAACGCAGAATGATCTCTCTCCTCTTTGGTAAACCTTTATTTATTTTTTACAAAATGAACTGGAATTATGGTGGACAAAGAAGTAAAAATAACTAAATGTGGGTATGCATTAAATGAGAAACAACTCTTTTTTACCGAATGTTCAAATGTCGCGGCAGATTCTATCATCAACTTAAACACAGGTCACACAAGTGACATCGATTTCTGGTCATGTGATGACAAACCGCGTCATACGTGTGCATGGAATCAGATAGGTACCTGGCCATGCTTCTGAATGGAACACGCACGTGAACGCCTACTGGCTTTCCAGACTTGGGATTCGTGGATATCGTATCTTTTATCAATCACCGCTATCGGCAACTCTCCCAGAGAGCAAAAAAGTCCACCTTCAATACCGCCTCCCCCTTTTCCTGACTGTCGGACCTCTGATAGCGAAAAAATAGCTCCTCACCCACCTTCCAAAACGAAAAATAACAGTGCTAAGCGTGTTAAGAAGTTGTTCGAACGACCTGTCATCAAGGCGGGTAGATCTCGCGCACCTTCAAGAGGCGCCAAAAGAACTTGTTCAAGTTCACAAACTCGTTCTCGTAAAAGACGTTCCGAGATGCTGTCGGCCATCTATCGTATCACACGCGATCTAGAAGCCGAGAGTGTCTCAATCTCAGGGCGGAACAATTGCCACGCTAGCGAGGCAGACTCGGACACGGATTCTACGGTCTTTTTGAGGATATCGGAGCTGAAATCAGAAACGAATGAAACTTTACCCCGACCCCATGTCAGTCCACCGATTCCGCCACACAAGTTAGAAAAGAAACATGATTCACAGTTGTTGTCGTCTGATTCAAAGTTAACAAAAGGGGGGACAGCACATGAGGACGAAGAGCAGAAGGAGAGAGAGAACAAGCAGGGAGAGTTGGACAAAGCTGGGAATTCGACAATAGGGTGGCCAAGACATAAAGTCGAAGGGGAGAATGGGAAGAAGAAAAAGGAGGAAAATAGGAGAGAGAAGGTGGAGGCGAAGGCATGGAAGAAAAATGAAGAGGAAGGCGGAGTCCGGCTTGACAAAAATGCAAAACAATATGCTATTTCTGCCCAAACCACTAAACCGAATACTCAAAATGCAGAAGAATCGGTCAGTAGAGAGGTGCAACGGTATGACGAACGAATTCAAGTGGCCAGATTGGGCACAGAAGGCTACTGCATTCGAGGAAATGAGAGCGGACGCACCTCCAATGGAATCGCGCCGCAACTGATTGAAAGATTTGGACAAAAGGAGAGTACTGAAAGACTTCAGGATCCTTTGGAAGTACCTAGAGAAATATTGCAGACTTCGAGAAGAAGTGGAGAATGTGCCTTGTCCGCTGAGGCTTTCCCTCATCTAGTCAGGCGGTGGGCTCACCATACGAGCCTTGAATTGACGAGCAAAGTTGTTGATTTTGTAGTAGACGACTGTAGCGGACCCTGCTTCCGAAATGGATGCCCACAGGAGTCACAAAACACACTCGACTTTGTGGAGGACGAAGTATTTATTCAGTTAAGTAAAATAGATTATGAACCTAGTGAGACTCTATCTGAAAAACAGTCGAGTCAAAAGGAGTTCTTAAACATCCCTGAATTGGAGAGGTGTGTGGCAGAAAGATCGCTGAGTGAGCTTTCTACACAAGTCCACACTCGTAGATCCAAAAAGGCGAATACTAGGCGACTTCAAAAGCGTCTGAAACACACGCATGTGCCACAGAATACACCAGAATGTGTCCAAGAACAGAAGAATAAACGAAAAATGAGGCACAAATTCAAGCGTCATTTGAAAACACTGGAGGAAGTTGATAGTTGCTTGAGGGCGGGAGAGGGAACAGACGAGGAGACCGTAGTAGATGGAATGGCTTGTAGACGAAGAGGAAAGAGAAGCAGGAGTAGGCGAAGGAGGAAAGAGTGTAGATCCAAAGAGCGGCAGCAGCGCTGTAAAGATGTTAAGTCGCGACGCATAGTCTCCGAATTTGGCGATGAAAGTGAGGTCGTATCCGATGCACACGGGAAGGATGTCATAGTCTGGAAGTGTAAAAAATCGCCAGAGAGCGTGAAGAAACACAAACGTTTGGCCCCTGCCGAATCAAAGAACCCACCAATGGGGATTAAAAAGTTTGTACAACAAGCAGCGAAACCAATTAAGTGCGAAAATGTCATCGCTGATGAGTTCAAAAAAGTATTCCCATTACCGAGACACAGACACCAAAAAGCAAAACGTTCACCACCAGTCCATACCAAACAATGTCTAAATAGAAATAATAATGCAGTAAACGGGAAGGGAGACGTGAAAGCAGGCTTGAACAGGAAGGCGGTGACAATCCGACACACATCACCACCGGTGTCGGCAAGGGAGTCTGGGTGTAGAGCACCATGTTCCTACGAGGGCACTCCACCTCCCCGAAGGTCCATCCTCGCTTCAGATTCCGTCGGAGATGCCCTCCATTTCTTCTCCTACCCAACTCCAGGTACCAAGTTCTCTGAAGCCACAGGGTCCCTCAATTCCTCCTATTCGTGCTTTGAACCTCCCATGCCCTCCCCTTGTGTAATCCGGTGCCATCAAACGCCAAAACCTGTGAGGTCAGTTCCAGGTGAATGCAACCCACTCAAGGTGAAGAATAACCGCCCGAAATCACACAAATTGAAACCCGGGAGACTTCTTCGACGTATTTCGAGCTTCAAAGCGCAGCTAGAGGGCTACAATAAGAAAGGGCAACCCTATGGAGTGGAAAACCTGCTATCTCTACTAACAAAAAAGTACGCTCTCGATTTACGTGAGTATGTACAGTACCTACAAGTACTGAGAGACAAGAACAACGCTAACAGGAGCTGGCATTTGTCAATTGGGCAGAATAAGTGGGGTCAATGGACACAGAAGGAGGCGAGTGAGTTTGAGGAGTTTGTATGCTTCATTAGCATTGATACATCCGACATTGATGACGTTGTCCTCCCCTTTCGTGTTAGCATCACGAGACATAAACTTCTTGCTCAAGCCTTCAACCTCTACCGTCAAAGTTTGCAAAAGTTCGAGGACACAAAACGAGCTAGAACAGTTGGCACTTTAGGAACTCACAAAGATGATTGGATGGATGCGCCTTTCGCCCCGTTCTTGTGGCTTAAAATGTGTCAATTACCCACAGATCACCCTGTTCGACGCCTGCTGCGGCGCTCAAGTGGTCCACAAGATCGGCGCATACTGGCAATTGAGAATGAAATTGAAGGAAGAATACTTCTGGCAGAGGATAAAGTCATTTTCGTACGTGGACTGCCCTGTTTTCAGGTTCACATTCTGGCGCCCACTACTATGGCAATTCGCTTTGCACTGATGCAAATAGAGCAGCGGCTGCCCTCACTCCACGCCAAACTAGTAATTACGGAACGCTTGCCCATGGTGCATGCGAAATGGGGGGATAGATCGGTTCAAGCCCCTACCATGGGGAACTTTACAACACGCTTTAACTGTTCACCACGTTTGGCACCGAGAATCACTGTGGTTCACGCGCCGTTAAGCGCTACTCCAGAGGATCGGCGGGACTTTGCCTCCTACTGCGGCAACGAGAGTGATCCCGAGTTGGAGCAAGCACAGATGGGTCAGAAATTTGCGGACAAACTTTGTACATACTGATAATTCATGCAAATACTGCTCTACTCAGCTCTTGGTTTGTGTAATTTCGGTTTTTATGAATTTTTATGTTCGCATTTCGAAAAACCATGGGATAATGCAAGGCAAATATGGTTTGAACAGGTGTAATTTCTGAAATGCTGAGCTGGTTACGTTTAAATCTTCATAGTGCCGTAACACATGGGATGCTGACTTAGCTCCAAGAGTGCGTTGCATGATGGACATCTTGTATTTGTGTTTTTAGAGGGGAATTGTGACACTATTTCTGGCTGAGGTTAAGAACCGCCATGATTAGCTGACAAGCAGTGCCTTGAGAGATCCTTCGGAAGTAATGCAACAGTTACTATTATTTGATATTCGAGGGAAGAATAAGGTGCCTAGGAAACTGTTTTTACGAACAAAGATGTGTCAAAAGTTTGTTTCTTTATCAACTAATTGGTGCATAAAAATGAGAAAAATACTAATTATGAAGTGTAGGCAGTATGATATGAGGATAGTAGGTGATGATTTACAGATAATGGCAAATAATGCAGCTTTTATGAAGGGTGGTTGAGCATCAAATGTTTGAAAATCCGTAACGCCTAGCGACTTCCTTGAAAACGAAAGGAGGCATAACACTTAGGTAGAATATGTGCTGTCGGCGAACAGTAGGACTTGGACCTACTGCCGTGCCCAGGTGGCCGGACAGCCCGCAGGAAGTAGAATAGCGTCACCAGAACCAAGGGTTACACAAAAAATTAACTACTGCACATGACTATAACGTAAATGAATGTACTAGTGCGAACCGAAATGATTTCGGAATATCGCCGTATTGCTGCTCCTATCGAGTTCAGTTTTGCCAACCGCCATCCGCCTCAGAAAACAGACGGAAACAAAAAGAACAAGTGCATAATTTGGAAAACAACCGGTGGACACACATAAAGGGTTTTTCAAGAGTGCATTTTAGAACTTAAGTACAGGCTTTTAAAGTGCCTAAAAATGTCAGTGGCTCACGCGCATGAGTGCTTTTGAATTTTAAACGTAAAATTAAATAAAATGTGCTGTATACTCCATAGAGATGGAAAAAGGCCAACTAAATAACTGACATTCATAACACTAATACGGAACTCACTTTGAAGGCCACTTACATTGTGTGCTTTTTATCTACCGCACCGTTTGTTCCGGCAATTATTTGCACCATTTTTGGTAAAGACATCTTTGATTTACTTAATTTCCTTTCGATTTTTTGCACCCTGTTCGCATGTTCCCACACCTTTGTTTTAAGCTGCCCAAAACGCACTTTATTCATTGCCTATCATCCACGCTGCAAATTCTACTTGCATTTCCCGTTTTTTATTTGTAGATGGTTCGCGCGACTAAAATCCTTTTATGTGGTGCTTCAGGAGCTGGAAAAACCAGTCTAGTCTACTCCCTTGAAACTCCTACAAACACTCTCCCAGACCTTCAAAAACACGTACATGATCAGCACACCACCTAATGGTCATTTTGTTAGCTGCCAACGTATGAGGACACTTATACTCTGTGTATATCGGCTGAAAAGAGTAGCCAAGAAAAGGTTCGCATCTACGAAATCGGTGGTATGAACACCTCAATAGGTCGACATTTCGTGAATTCATCTGACGCTCTTATTCTGGTCTTCGACATCACAAGTTTCGACTCCTTTGCTGCGATGCAGAAAATAAAGGCAGATGTGAGTCACTCAACGGCTTACGGTTGCTTTACAGTGCTTTATCAATGAATGCATAAGAACAAAATTTTGGTTTTTAAGCATAAGTGGGTATTTGTCGTCGGTTTTGATGGAACGGATAACATTGTTCCTTATTATAGATCGATTGCATAAAGGAAAAACGGGAAATGCCCACAGTGATTATCGGAAATAAAAATGATCAACCCAGAAGTTCTCAATTTGAAAACTTCCCACCGGGCGCCTGGGCTCAACGAGAAAAAGGTTTGTGAGTGTCTATAACTTAGGAGGACCAATGGAATTCCCAAAGTTTTAAATGAATGCGAGAGTTACGCCTTCAGGCTGTACTATTTTGGTAGTGATTGATTTTCTGGAAATAAAGAATCAAATTGAATGTATGCTACAAGAATCTGATGTCCTTTTGATGCTTGTAGGAACTGCTTTACTCCAGATTCGTAAATTAGGCGCATGGTATTTCATTGCCTTATGCCTGAGCATGACGGCATAGAAGACACGATATCATTCATTTTCCTTTCTTTCAGTTGGGTATTTTGAGACAAATGCTTATGACAAGGCAACTTTTCTACAGATCCTTTCTGGACTAGTACTCAGGGTGCACCAGCCACAGAGTAGGTTGTGTTTTGGAATGAACTTAATCCTGCAGGTCTAGAGCAGACCAATGACAGGCTTACTCTTCTATCCTTTTAGGTAAGACGTCGTTTGCATTCGGGAAACGGGAAGGTCGATAATTTGATCCCTCCTAGTCTCCAATTCTTTCATTCCAACTTTCTGGGAGTGACCCATCTTTTAATGCTTTGGTTTACTATTTTCTGACTACTACTGTTATTATTGGTAAAGATAACGAAGATCTCGAACTGAAAAGCGCGTCTTTGTTTGTGTTCGCAATTGTGTGTGAATTACTTTTCTTGTTTGTGACTTGAGGCTTATGCATTGTTAACCTGAAGTATGATGGATATCCTCACTACAAGGGATGAAGACCACGCTCTGTTTTAAGTACGTGACCTTTTATAGTGTGCCCGCAGGTCACGCTATCAAGGGAGCGATCTTTGTGTCCTGTCCAAGGCAATTTTGCTTGCACTTTTCCAGCTGAAATGCGATTAAAATTTTTGACTTGGAAGAAGTCTATGGATTTTTGCTTGTTCTTGAGACACCTGCTCTGGTCCAGTAGATTTTCGGTGGACAGACCCATCGTCTTAAGCAGAAATGCTTGTGAACGTTTTTCAAATAAATTTTTGTTAGCATTAGGCTATTTAGAACCTCGAATGTTGGGGAACGATTACTTTTGCTGCAATTTTGACCTCAGTTTTTGTTGACCTATGTGGATTCTCCGAGTGGTATTTAGAGGGTGATTTGATGGAGGCTTAGATTTTAGGATACTTTGCCATCAAACAAATCTTTTGCAACAAAATCCATCTCGCAAATCTGATTCTTTTTCAAAGGTATGCTATTTGCACTGTGGCGCTTAAGAAAACTCCGGAAGGTGTCTAAGGAGAATTCAATGTAGATATTAGGTTTTTTTTTAATTGTGTATTGAATATGATATGTCTCCATTGATAGCTTGACCGAATGTGTGTGAGGATTTCCGCTTTTTTCATAGCTGCCAGCGTTTTCCTTACCTCTTGTGGGTCCAAAAGGCACAGGGTCAATCAAATCGTGTGTCTGCATTGCCTATGCAGAGCAAAGCGAAGTTCTTTTTGCCGGACATGCAGACGGTCACATCAGCGCCTGCAATTTCGTCTGGAAACGTCAATGCGCAGCGTGGCTCGCTCATCCCCAATCTCAGGTCTCGAAACCCCTTTTTATCTTACATTCTGTATGCTTATTTCATTCCAGCACAAAGTCTTACCGGTTTCTATTTTCAGGTCATCGGCTTGTCTGTAGCCCCTTGGAAAGCGGTGACGCGTGAAGCCTGTCTCATCTCTCAGGGTAGAGATGGCAAAATTCGGTTTTGGGATACTGATCTAACCCCCTCTCCTAGTATGGCCAAATTCTTTTATGATTTTAATGAATATTTATTCTAATAATTTTCAATCGCATCCAAGAGCCCCTGCTAGAAGTAGTTTGCTGCCAGTACACTCTCTGTCCCTTCAACATCTGGCAACCTAGCAGCAATCTCCACACTGATCGCTACCTCGTCTACGTTGGAGTGGATGAGGAGGACGCCTCCACAGTCAACCTAGAGGCGATTCGATCGCTAGACAGTTTGACTATCTGCTCCGTAGATGCAAGTCAAATCTCCCGGCTGGGCATGTGTATGGCACTGAGTGGAGTCACTTGTGACGGAACCTGTTACTTTTTGGGTGGATTTGAGGCAGGCTGTGTGGTGCTTTTTGTGGAGGGCAGACAGGTGGCTCGAGTCTCACCTCTCTCGCCATCAGACATTCGACCAATCACGTGTCTGGCAGCTTTCACTGTCAATGCGTCCATAACGCTTATCGCTGTGGGTAAATCTGCTGTAGCCGATGGGGACGAACAGCTGCCTGACTTTGAGCTTCTCAAGCTAACGTCCGAAGGTTGGGAGTTTTTCTGTGATTGGATAAATTTAATTTATTACTCGACTATTCTATTCCTTCGACACTTCAGCCTTCATTAGCTAATCACTTGAGCTGAACACAGCACCAGTAGATAAGAGTGCTTCCCCTCTTTTCTGTCTTCTCTACTTTCAATATGAATATTTAAAAGTAGCTTCAATGAAGAATAAATCCCTCGGACATCTCCAGAAGTTGGACAAATGAATTAGGTTTTGGCTACGAACATCTGACTTCTTGATTTATCATGATGAAATGGTTAATAGCTTTATTTCTAGCTAAAAGTTTACTAATTTTTTACTCAAAATACCTAAAATCTTCCTTTTAACTTTCGGTCACTCTTAACTTTCATTCGAATCGTTTTGCAGCGTCCTCCTCTTCGGGGCGTAAATATCAAACTTCTTCATACTGGTCATTACTCAATGTTTGATCAATAAAATTCACTTTAATTTTCGATTTGAATGACTGTCTGCCCATTTTCAGACCCCTCCAACTTCCTTCTTGAGCGTTGCACCAAAAAGCCTCCCAGCAATGAGTTCAATGGCATCAGTTCATTGACCTGGCGCAATGACGGTCGATTGTTGGCTGCTGGCCAATGGAACGGTGACATACGTTGTTTCGCCGTGACACCTAAAGGTCGTGCTCGTTGCCTCGGCAATCTGCGTAGCCCTGGAGCTGTGGTTGGCGGAGGTACTCTGCTCGGCGATTGGTCCTCAATCTTGACCGACCCCTCTAAGCTAACCCCGGGGGAGCGGGATCAGTCGCTCTCCGTTCGTGGAGCCCTCTTCCTCCCGTCTAAGTGGCTTATAACCACTGCACCGGCCTCTGCAGGAGGATTGGGAACCTTAAATGTTTGGGACGTGTACAGGGACTCTTGATTAAATGGTAGGAAAGCACATCCTTATATCGCCGTGTTTGTCGTTACAGCATTATTTGACTTTTTAGATAGTTATTTGTAAAAGTGATATATAAAAACTCATTTGAGGTTTAGAAATGAGTTTTCGTCGAGTGTATTGCGTGAGTATGAATTTTCCTGGGGACTTGAGAGGTTCAAAATGCATTATAGCAGCTGAGTTGCCTCCGAAGAGGCTATGTGTACGAATTTAACCCTGTTACCAACGTAAAGAAGGTCAGAGGTATTGTTGGTTCAGGTGAGGGTGGCGTGGACGTCAAAGTTCACTTAAGATGTCAGGTTAAACAAACCCAAACCAAACATTAAGTAAACTGGTGAATTTGTCATTGGGATACCCTTGTGTGATCGGTGAATTTGACGGATGATTTGATGGATCCTGAAATTCTATAGACAGGACTGTAACCGTTCATCTTACCGTCAAGACTTATACTGCTTATAGGAGAAAAATGGACCTAATCCGAAGGACATAGTTATACTTGGCACCTCAAATTTGCTCTTCAAAAGCACATTTAGTTCTTAAGTGTGGAATTTAAAATGTGGTCATCCTGGGAAGGTTGCCTGGTGTTCCAGGTTTGCCCTATCCATATTACCGGAAGGGGACAAAACTCGTCCAATACCCTGAGCACTGGGTCCCTAGTAGGCAATGTTTAAATTTAAGGCTCCTCTTTCAAACTCATAATTTTAGCCTTACTTTTATAATACTCCAAGGTAAATTTATTCAAAGTTTAGGCAGATCCGCCCATTGAAAATTTTCATGTAGAAGGCGGACTTGGCTACTATAAGAATCGGTATTGTTGTGGAAGCTCACAATTATTGAATGGACCTAGAAAGTAGGTATTCAAGGGAGATTTTTATAAAGATAGCAAAGTGGAAGATCTAACTGAAGGCCGAAATGGGTCACCTCGCCCAGGGTGGGTCTTCCGATCGCGTCCATGGGAGAAATCTTATGAAGAATATGAAATAATTATTTTCAGCAAGCATCTGTAAACCAATCCTTTGGTTGAGCAGTCGGTTTGAATGCACTTATACATCCAAGGTGCAAGAACGTCCAATGAGCTTCTTCATAGTTCTTACTGTAGCACTCTGAGACTTTCCCGAATAAGGAAGAAGCCATAATACTTGGACAGAATATCCATATTCGATACAACAGGGCTTGGTACTACTGGCATGGCCCGAAGGTCAGCTTACCCGGGGAAAGTACCATGGGAGAGCACCTAAGTGGCCCCTTTGCCAAGACTGAGTTAAACAAAGCACTAGCGTGGTGCATAGCCCCTCTCCTCATTTGTGGTTCTTCACCGGAGCTCTCCCTGGCTAACCTCCCACTTCAGTCATCACAATGTAGTCGGAGCTGTAAGGAACCAGCCGTGCCAGTCATCGAATTCTCATGCAACAGAGAGGATACTTGATTGCAACTGGAAATTCTACTGGATTCGGAGGAGGGAGAATGTGCCATCCATCACGTATGTTCATTGCTAGTGGTGGGAACACTGTCCAAAAAACAGGGTCTAGTAGCAAAAGACGGGATGTCACATTCTTCCCACCTCAGAGATGCCCAGCCATATCTATCTGTGTTTCATCCAGCTAGTAGGGAAGCGGAGGAGGTATCACGAGTTCACACAATTGATGCCCTTATACAGGGACGACAGGTGGCTCCCCAACGAACTTTTCCAGATGATTCACGGTCAGTGCCGATTCAGGTGTTAATCGCTGTTTTGTAGACCACGAGACTGGGATAGTTGCCGAAGGTTGGCATCATTAACAAACATTCTGCTATAGACTTTCACCGATTTCTCCGTCTGCAGAAAAAGTGCTTTTTTTCCGTCGCTCTAAGGTTTAGCACCTTGGAGTTTGCTTTCCGCTGCCATTGATGTAGTGCTCCGAGATCTCCTTCAAACGAAGACTTAGTACTTGAGCAAAATATGCATCATCGACCGACAGTAGGGTTGAAGGCCTGCTGGCATGGTCTAGAGACCAGCATAACCGGCGAAGGTACACTTGCGGAGCACACCTGAGTGACCCCTTTACCAAAACCGAGAACCACACAAACATCAAACTCATTACACTAACTACCGTCAATTCAGTTTCGGTTGACCTTGGACGCATTCGCCTTGGGTGCGTCCGATTGGTAGAATTATCTGACCATACGACAACGGGTTGACAAAAACTGAATGTCCAAGGCATGGCTTTGCGGTTGAAATTTCACTTCCTCCTTTAAACCTGTCACATAACCATAGTCTGACTGACAAAGAGTAATATAGCTGAGCATCATTGAAAGTGTCCTCAATTTTTTTTGGAGTGATGATTGGACCTAAAAGTTGTTCTAATTTTGAATTTATGATGCCATTTCCACGCGGTGCAGGAGACAGGCATGGAGGAGATTCAAATTATGTCCTACGGAATCGAAGAAAGGGAGCTTAAAATACCCGAATAAAAAGATTTAATATTAGGTGAACACCCTCAAAGTTAAAATTTATTGGGTGACAGAATCCGGACCATGGTCTAACGGGATAACATAAATCGTTTCCTTTTGATTTAAGTGTAATGCTTTGATTATATGCTCAGACCTTCGTTTTGTTGTCAAGATCACTTAAAGCTCCGCAACTGTACCTCCGTTGGGTGGCATGACCTCCGGGTCATTCCAGCAACCTCCAAACCTTTCTGTACGTCGCCAGAACATATTCTTTGCAAGTATTATGCCTACTTTTTTCTTTGGGGCAGTTTCATGGCGCTACTTCAACGACCATATTTTCGTTTTTTCTTATTAAAATACACGGAATGGATAAGAAAATTGGGCAGTATTTATCTGCCCTCAATTTAAAACCTTGCCAAAAGATGTGCGTTCCTTTTGTGTATATTGAAAAAAAGGTGTCCCAATTTAAAAATAATTGAAAAATAATAATATTACTTTCCAAGTGGTTGAAATTTTCAAAGCGGTCATTATGACAGTTAAAAAGGGAAATTTGAATCCATTACGATTGTTATGGTTAACCGAAGTTTTAGCCTGATAGGGTAATAATTACCCTCTGAAAATTCGAAAGAGGTTTAGTCCTATCCACTGAGTGGGCCTAAAAGTTGATTGAAAATTCACGGACTCAATTAGAAGGCTGAGAATCAACCTATTAGTTACAGTGACACGCCGATAATAGTAATAATAAGTGGAGCTGGTTCGTTAATCCTTGTGTCAAAGCAAGGATGTAACAAGGATTGAAAATGTCTTAGTAACTTCACATTTGAACTCGTACTATTGCGGCGGAATACTTTGATTATTTGTCTGACTCTTTGGTTCGGTTTTGTGGGTATCGAAGGCTAGGCCTCTGTACTCCCACCCGGCGGCCTAACCTTTGGGTTTTGCTGTCAAGGCACCTACCCTTCTGCAGATCGGCAGGACATATTCTGCCCTAGTATTACTGCATCTTTCCTCTTCAAGAAAAACTCTGGGCGCTACATTGTTGGCAACGGAAAGCAACCCTTTCTTAACGGACTTTTACCCTGATTTCCATTACTAAATGCTAAGCATTAACGTGATGGAAGAAGAGTATTTGCTACAGATGAGAGAGTCTGTAACAATTCCTAATAAAAGGGTTGAAAATGCTTTCTACCTTTGGCAGCTGCTCTACTTCTGGGTTCTGCAGGAATAGTATTAAGAATTGAAGCGGCAGTAGTCGGGATCTATCTGGAAAAGTTCGTTGCGGAACTTTCCATGGTACCCGTATGGAAATGCCAGTGAAGCGAACACGCGATACCTCCTCCATCTCCCTACAAGCTGGATAGATCACAGATACACATGTCAGGGCAGCAATGAAGCACAAACAAAGTAGGAAGGAGGTACTGATGCAAAACTTTACCCCACGAAACTAGTTTAAATTATGGCATTCATTAAAAGACTCTACTTTCATACCAGAGATCTTGAGACTAGCGATAGACATACGAGATGATCTTCACATTCCTCTTTCGCGCAAAACAATTCCAAAATAGGCCGAAACTCCAGATTTGGTGGAATCGTCAAAGTGGATAATTAACATTACAGTCAGTTATCCTCTCATTTGCACGCAAATTCCACGGATGATGCAGTTGGTTCTCAAATCGGGGTTTACCATCTATCAAAGACTACCTTATGATGGCCAACACGGGAAATTGACCAAGGCGAGCGCCGAGAATGACGGCCAAATGAAGAGGTGGACTCCGCAATGCTTTGATAGTTTTTTTAAATCTTCGCTTTGATTTCAAGGGCACCTAAACCTAAACTTTTGTGCTTCCGGTTAGCGGTATGGCTTTTAGGCCATGCCCGAAAACCCCTCAGTTCACCTGGACGTCAGCAATGCATTTTCTACCGTATTACTACGACGTCTTACAACTTCAGAGAAGATTAGGTTTGTTACAAGTCTACACATTTCTTAAAAGCGAGAATTTAGATTTATAAATGTGATGCACTGAAAAATTATTCCAAGCTAAGGAGTAAATTGCCGTTTTTCTAATAAAATATTTTTCCAATTTATGATCATAGTGGGACAAAGGAAGAGAAGCCATTTAAAGTAACTCTTGTAACATCCTAATAAAAAAGCTATTTAGTTATTCGGTGGGAAAGGGTTATGCAAGTAAGAAAATTAATTGACATCTGTTTAATACATTTCAGGTATCTGCCCGAATCCATCCAACGGAGTAGCAAGTCAAATCTTTCAGCGTTTTGATTCAATGGAGGCAACTCGACATTTGAGAAAGTAAAATAATATGGAGGGGACGATTTCCTTGGTTGAATAGTTCCGTCAATGGAAGTGAGGTACCAAACCTCAGGACTTAACAGAATATGGCCATTTTAAATAATCTGTGGTTGAGATTCAAGGTAAAGGAGTACATTGGCAACGGCGTAGCAACTGAAATGAACACTGTCAACACTGTCAATGCTTCCTTTAGAAATGATTATCCATCTGTCTACCTATCTATTGACGTTTGTAAGTAGTATGGGGATTTTAGTTAAACCTAAATCGCCAGTAAGGGTGCAAAGTAGGTGAAACACGGCAATTCAAACTACCAAGTTAGTAGTAACAGTTTTCCATTAGCACTTTGCTTCACTTCAAATCTAAACCTGCCTCCAAGTTTACATCATAAAACGAGTTATGAAGGAAGAGGCGGATTCACTGCCCTTACATATTCGGTGTTAAAATAAGCATTCCATGGTTTTCTGCACTCCGCAAAAAAATTCCTCGCGTCAAATGGACGGAAGGGCTGAAAAAAGGTATACAAGACTTCAAGCACCATTAACGTTTATGGGAAGGGTTAGATTGTCCGATATTTCAATACAAACAAATCATTTTAGGAGCCACAATTTCTCATCACTGTTGACTGATGCATTGTATTTGATGAATAGCTGATACCTCGGATTCACGAGTGTTGTAACCATACCTTAATACTATAGCAAATTAGTTTCCTGTTTTGCTGTCATTTTTCTTCAGCATATGCGGGGTCCCTAGTATTACCAATGTACAAAGAGGCTGAGGGACTACTAGCATGGCCCAGAGGCTGTTATGTCCAGCGGAGGTACAAGGGCCTAGACTTAGGCGTTCTTGTAACTAAAGAGAAGTGTTAAACAAATAATTAAAGTATTACCTTGTCCTCTCTCCTACGAGTCACACTTCTGGTGCCCCCTTTGGACAGGCTTTCGCGCCAGCCATCGAATTTGCATTCAAATGAGATATTTGTCTGCAAAGTCACTGATCCCTCTTGGCAAATCCACTGGATCTAAAATTGTCTCCTATTTGGTAACAGTATTGGAGAAGAGAGAATGTGCTGACCACACATTCACGTCACTAGTCTCAGAAAAGCTAGATAAAAGTAAGGTAATTCAATAAAGGACGGGTCTAAAATAGTTTTGTGGGGATACTGTTGCCCGTCAACCTTCCTTGACACATTGTTCTCACTTCAGTACGGCTCAGCTATATCTATATGGCTTCTATCCAGGTAGTAGAGAGGTAGAGAAGGCATCTTGTGATCACTCATTCAACACCTTCATAGAGGTGCCGCAGACAGCTTAGTACCGAACTCTTCCAGATGGTTCACAGCTAAAGCAGCTTTAGATTTTAATAGCGTTCCTGCAGAACACGTGACTGGGGTAGTTGCCGATGGTGGACGTCATTTTCAGCCCTTCTTTTGGAGGTCGTCACTGATTCTGCCATCCATAGCAAAAATGGAAATCAGTGTAGCTGTCCTTTAGGATCGGGTTCGGTTCACGCTCCCATTTTTGTAGTGCTTTGAGTCTTTCCAACGTACAGATGAGCTGGAAGGCTACCGGCATGGCAAGGAGGTCGAGTGGAAGTACAATAGCGGAGACTTGAGTGTCCACATTATCAAAATGCTAAACTAAACACTTTAAGGATTGCAAACCCGACTCCATCTCCACCATTGCTTCATTTATAATATTCATCAGATACGGTAAAATTAAGCTTAAATAATAGCCATTTGTTGGCAAACTCAAGCAGTATGGGTTCCTATCAAAAAGACCTAGAAGACCAGGGTTAAGCGAAGTGGAAAAAGGGGAATTGAAAGGGAATTGAGAGTTAGGAAAATCATTTTGCAATTTACAACAAGATGTTGTACATTGACGCGGATGTTAGTAGGATTACTTAAATTTACCTACACCATGACTTCCTTTCGCGTTCACCGAGCAGCCAATTCACCTTTGCTTTCGGAATTGGATAGAGAGGGAAATCGACAAGTCCAATTTCTGCAGAACATTCGTTTAAAGGTCATGAAAACGGTAACGTAGCAGGCAGGAAGCTTCACTATCCTCCCATCATTGAATAACACTTTACTTTTGAATGCTTCAGTTCTGTTTACGATACTACATATTTCGTCAAGAATTTTCAGAAGAATATCCAAAAAATGTCACAGAAAATCAACAGAGTTTTTCATTTTTGCATAATGTGTAAATACCACAGTAGCCGGCTTTTAAGAGATCACTTTACCCTATCTTACTCGGCAGTCCATGGCCGTCATTATGCTCTTGGAGTGTGGAACATCATCCATTGTTCCGCCCTAGGGAATTCAGGGAAATTAATCCCTTACTCAAGCCTTAATGAGAGGAACTCTACTTGGACATAGAAATCGGGATGAGGAGAAGAGTGTGTATGTGTGGATGCCGCTTCCTAAATTAAGGATAATCAAAGAAGGTCGATGACAAGAGGAGGAGGAGGGGAGGGGGAGGGGGAGGGGGGAAGGAGGAGGAGGATGAGGAGGAGGAGGAGGAGGAGGAGGAGGAAGAAGAAGAAGAAGAACAAAACTATGCAAAGAGGATGATCCATGTAGTTGAATTTTAGCAGGCTAGGCTGCAAAATTCCCACTCCTCTCCACTCTTTAACTTCGGTCGGGACAGTAGACTGCCCAATCGAATACGTGAAAGACGTGTGCTTGGATCACTCAGATTAGGTAAAGTCACGATTTTAATTATTCAAGTATATTATTGAAATGAGCCCTAATACCTTAGTTCATCACATTATGGGCAAACAGTCACAGTAGATGGAAGACGAGACAAACACAAGTAGATGAGGCAATCGAACCGGCAGAGTAAAATCAGATCTGAGAAATCGGCTGCCTACAAAATCGGCCCAAATTGTCCATGTCCTGGAGAAGCTGGAATCTGCCCAAAAACTGGATCTCTAGCCATTGCCTCATCCACTTTCCGGTCACTACAAACTTGTTTCTTCCCATCCCGCCTAACACTAGTGGTTGTTCCAATCTTAAAAGCCCTGGTTAAGCACTTTTGCTTCTGGGGCTGAGGTGGGAGTTGAATTGTGCTTTTAGATTACTGAAGTGAATTTGGTATGTGAATCCTTAGGCAGAGATAGACTGAAGTATCATAGCTGCAATACTGTTGGTTGCAGGTATTCTACTATCTTATGAACTATCTAATACCATAAGAAAAGTGTTTTGCTACACAACCTAACTATTTCACAAGCGTTTTGTGGCTAAACATATCACTTAACAAGTCCGATCTTTAGCACAGTTACAAACCAACATCTGACCCTAATTTTCCACTTGTTCAGTCTTTTGTGCTATCATTTGATCCTTCAAATTGAGCTAATACTGCTTGCAAGATGGGCGCAGCGATGGCCATGACGCTATCTGTTTACGGAGTGGACGCGAGGCAAACCAGATTTCAGACAAGCCTCATTGTGTAATAAGTTGGCCGGGAACCGATCCAGACGCCATTTCCCATCTTCATATCCATTTCCTAGAGCAAATTCACGCAATACTTGCACAATATTGCCATTTCGGCTGGTAAAGCAACAATGTTCAGACAATTTGGTTCAGAGTAAGCCTTGTGATCAGTTTTTTAAACTTGATTGCAATAAACTTTGCTTCGTAATAGCGCTAACACAGGCTATAGAAGCTAGGGGTTAAGGGGACTGGCATTATGGTGAATGTGCGTACTTTCTTACAATCCTCACAGGCATGTGCGTTCTCCAGACTAGTGTCGATGCGGCTATTCACAATGACAAACTACTTATCTGAATGGTTTTGGTAAAAACTGGGCTTCTGATACTTCTACTTGGAGTAAAACGTCTTAACGAAAATTCTAACACCCATCGTCACTAGATTCTTAGGTTTCATTTAAAAGAAAAAACTCATTAATCGAACACAACCTTTACTGCCTAATTGCCAAGCAGATGAGTTGGAGAAGGTCTGAGGAAACAATTTATCAGAGGTACTCTCAATCTTTATCCCACCTTCCGTTAATCTAGGCAGCAGTAGGGATTTAGTTTGCATTTAATTTGATTTACTCGTAGAATACTGTTGCAGCTTCGGGTAGATTTGCAGGACAGACCATATTGTTCTTTAGAAGGAATTTGCAATATTCACGTTGTCACGCAAACTTCAAAGATCACTTTTTCTTTATGACGAAGCCGACACTGAAAATTAACGTAGATAATATGGTGGAACCTCATCAGACTTAAGCGAAAAATCTCCTCGGTACCTTGATAGCCTCCTGTAACAGCCTCAGCGTTACTCTCTCCCACCTCTATCTTCACCCCCATGGAGGGAATAGAGTGGTTAGATGAGGAAATCTCTTGTTGAGTAGGTGATACGAAAGTGTACAGGTGTTTGGAGTTATACAGGTTTGGGGTTCGTTTCCACCTCGTATGTACTGTCCGCTTCTCACCTGAAAGGTGCATTTAAACAAACGCGCATTACACCACCGCTAGGGTTTAGTTAGACTCGGCTTGACTTATTCGCCATTCACAGAAATATCCCGATCGCATTAAACTCGACATTCCACGTGAAATGTAATTGGCGTTTCACAGTTATTACAGTGTTAATAAGTATCCTTAATGAATGGCCGTACAATTATATATTTGCCTCAACGATTTAAAACTGGTGATAAAGAACCGACTACACGTCAGTTATCAATTTCCGTATTCAATTCCCAAACTGCTGGCAGTTGAGTAGCTATATCAGTGCAGAAGGCAGCGAATTCCCTTTTTTTTATTCCATGTTCTTGCAGACCAAAAATTCTTGCTAGCAAACTTCTTCAGGATTCTCAAATATCCTTACAAAAGCAGAAAACAATTTCGGCTTTTTTACATATTTCATTTCTACGTTCTTACTTCTGTTCTGAATAAAGAGAATTGATATTAGAAATGGCTGCAGTGTGAGAAGATGGCGCTTTAAAATCGTCCGGTTGATTGAGAACTTTTGTGTTCCTCAACTGGTAATCACTGACACAATTATTTATAAAACTGAGTAGATTGGAGTAGGCGAGTTCACTTGTGTAGGTAGATTATACGACTTTAAAATTTATACCTAGTGTTCCAAATTTCCGTAAGATCGTTATACTTTCCTTTTTCAAATGAAAGTCGCAATTCTGTAGTGAATCGTGACATGCGACAATGCTAACCAAACCTACATTTAATGAAGATTTAGAAAATACTTCGATTGAAGTTATCTTCCCCATAGGAAATGAGGCTCTTTTGCATAAGGGATATTCAATTTAATTTAGTGGTTTGATAAAGCCTATAAGTCCTTCAAATCGCCATCGGAAATGGTTTAAGTTTAAGGTAAAGGTAAAGCCGAGTCTTTTTCCAGCTAATTATAAGTACTCAGCGTAAAATAAATTATCGACAAGTCAATGCTAACACAATGATAAGGGCAGTTCCCTAGAAAAAACATTTCAGGCAAGCATTTTTGGTTGCCAGCTGTCATTTTTAAGCAGCTTAAGCACATTTATGAATAGCTGCATCACCCTTAGCCTTCTCTGAAGTAGGAGAAAGTCATAGAAATAAGGCAAAAGATATATTGCTGACGCACAAGGGAGGGGAAGTTATCGACATGGTCAGCGAGAGGAAATACAATGGTCGCGATTCAAGGGCCTAAGTAACCAAAGCGCCAACTTTAACAAACAATGTAATGCATAACAAGTGTTTGTTGCTGTCACAATTGAGCCCATAAACAATTATGTGTCCACGAATCTAAAGTAGTCTTTTTGATAAGGCACCTTGTCCATACAATGAAGCTGTCGCGCAACTCTTCTAGACTCTTCTTCTTCTGCTTCAATCACCTGCTTTTCGTGGATTTCAAAGCAAATTCATGAGTGGAAGGGAAAGCATTCAGACCTCTGATAAGTGGTGGATGAAGGAGAATGAACCACCCTCCTTCTCAATGAAGGTAATTCACAGTGTCCTCCACATGAATGAAATTTAGAGTTACAGTATTTCCTTTATCGTCATTTCATTCATTTCAAAAGGTAAATGTGACCACACAATTCGTGTAAGGCAAACACTCTCTCAGGCAATCACTCTGGCTTACAACGTCTCCCTAGCAGTTGAAGCCTAAGTTTGTTACAAGGATGAGAGGGGAGGCACCATCACAACTCCTTTCTTATGGGGACCGTTAAAGCTGCGTGTGGTTTCCAACGTCGAGTGAGATTATATAGTCTCTCCTTTAAAATTTGGCTCATATGTATAACGGATACTGTCGGTAATTCCTTTCCTGGCAGATGATACCCCCAAAAGAGCCCTGAATCTTCCTCCAGATGGAAATCGCTGAATTCGATGCTGCAAAAAGGCTTTTAAATCTCCTCTTGATCACAAAAATTGTGATTTTAGATGCAAAATGAATATGCGTAAGTTTTACAAGTAGTTATTCAGTAAAATGTGTTTTTACATCTTCTACAAAACGACCTTCCATGGACGATGAGTGACCAAAAAAGAACCTGTCTTTCTGTATTCACATAACATTCACTGCATCACCAAATGTCGGATTTTTAAAGGAAATATGAACTTGATCGTGAATATTTAATTTTTATACTTCCTCGGTTTAAGCAAAAAAATATTTTGGCCTAAAAACATTCAACCTGTTCCGAGCAAATAAGTGGAGATTTTGCTGAGTCCCGGAATTTTTTCTTTAAAACTAACTTCCCTAAATAAATTAAGATTGTGTAACATAACAACTCTTTAAAGAAAATAATTTCGAGTAAATATTGCTATTGGTGTGTTTTCATTGGCATTTCGAACACACTCATTTCTGCATCTGGGATGCACGTAGTGTGGCACGGCAAAATCGGAGAAATTCAGTCTCCTCTTATTGGATTTTCAAAAAATGAAAAAAGACATCAAAGGTTCCGGTTCCGTTGGACAGTTATCAAACATCTATGAGGATTGGGCACTTTCTACTGTATTTGCCTAAAAGTAGCATCAAATAGCTGTTCTGCCACACAAAAATAGCACCTGGTGCCATTATTCTTCTAAAATCCCATCAAATTAGTGCATATTACCCGAAGTCCGCCAACGCGTGTTCAGAGCCACATAGCGGACCTGTGCGTATCCTCTGCTACATGAAGCGGCTGAGGGGTTGACATGATGTTGTCGAGGGTACAATTGCCTTGACCGGCAGTGATTCCTTTACTCTCTCATAACGCAAATGTTACAAAGTAAAATAAGCCAACTTTTAATCATATCATCCTAGCAATTCTGATGGTTTTAAAATATTAACTAAGACAATAAATATCAGACTCTTGAGTGTGCAAACACCTGCCAGCCTTGTTGTTTGAAGGGTTCTAGGTCAAATTTCTGGTCCACACTGAAGCAAACAAGTTAACGGGCTGTAGCTAGCATCATTACTATGCTCCGTGTATTGCAAAAATATCGTCCAAGATGAATGTAACTGTCTTTTGCAAATGAAATTTTCACTTATCGTCGGGTGAACCCGGGATTACAAACGCAGCATGACTTAATAGAAAGATTTAATAGCTAGGCAGCAGCAGTCCTTGGTATCAGCCCTTCTTACATTAATCCAAAAATCGCTTTTTAATCAGTACTATTGCTCGTCCTTGTGTCCAGGGTGGAATTTTCTTCTATCACGCTTCTTAGCACTTCCAGAATGTCAATAAAATGAAGGACATAATTCGCCCTTGTGGGGCGTATCTGATTCATTTCTTCCCGCTCCCCTGGAAGTACAAATCAGGCCTCCACGTAAAACTACTTTACTGACAAATTTTCCCATGTTACGGAAAAAGCAAAACAGTTGTGTCAGCCAGGGTTGCTGTTCAGCTTATGACTACTTTATTGGGGTAAAGTATAGCGTTGTGGTGTTTGAAGTCCTACCAAAATGGTGAAATTCAAGAAGAAAAGCTTATTATGACATTCATTAGGTCGAATGATCGACCACTTTAATGATATTTCCGATTTTTGAGGTTCGAAAATGGTTACGGTCCTTATCGGTGGAAATGACATTCCCGACAAAGCTTCTCTGTTCACTCCGGCACCAGCGATTGGCACAATCCACTGAATTCCCTTTGGTGCAACAAAATTCATAGCATCTTGAGTAATTCTTGTACTTTCAACTCTCTGACACTGAATGATCTGATTTTTGGTGATTATCAGAGATGATAATGAGATAAACACAAACACCGCCATAGATATTGACACACTGACACTGAAATGGACTAATTGGCGGTTATTTACAGGGATGTGGACACTGAGATGTGGGTGTCTCCAGCACCACAACGAAATGCATACGGGGTCCTCTATTTTCCCCTCCGTACTTCAAAGACCAATCACACTGTCGCCTCCTCTGCTGCTCCCAGCGCTGGTGGTGGCCCCACGAGATGCCGTGTTTGCGTTGGTGGTGTTCCTTCCTGTTTGTGTGTCCAAAAACTGCCTCCCTTGGTCAGTCTCACACACACGCACAAACTCAGCGTTTGTGATTGAGGCTGACTTTCTCCGTCAAGTCAGCGTAAAGTAGCATTTCAGGCTTGTGTCAACAAGTTAAGTAATTTGCTAAGGAGGTGGAGAAAACCATTTCTCTATGTCTGGAAGGATGAAACTTACAAAAGTTGGACACTTTTAAGTCTAGTGTCAGAAATTTACCGAAGTCTTTTACGCAAGTGTGTAACATTGGACGAATTAAAGGATTATATAGAGATTAGACAGTTTGTAAATTGTTTATTTTAGTGCCTTTTCTTCAATGTTTTAAATTTCGATTAGTAGAAGTTTCTAGGTTAATGAAACGCAGTCATTAATCAAACAGCAATAGTGTATGATCATCTTTTTTATCTAACCAGTAAACATTAAGGTGTTTGTGACATCAGTATTGTCGTTAAATTTGGAATACTTGCTAAACAGAACCCGCTTGAATTTCAAAAGAGAGAATTGATGGATGAATGAGTTTGATGCTTTTCACTCCCGTTCTCACGTCAACGCTACTTTAGTATTTGTAAAGTCAAAAACATCCAAGATTATCCATTAATAATAGAGCCATCTCAGAATACACGAAATGCTGTGGACTTACGAATACTGACTTTCACAACATCCTTAAACGACCTAAGGCATGGCAGTGTGCCCTATCCAGTTGATGACGACAGCTTCCAGGTGAAACAAATCGCATATTTAATTCGGGGCAAATTGTTAAATGTTGGAGAAAATAAGAAATACGGTGGAATTGAAAACAGCACTTATTTGTATCATCATGATGGGAGGATTACGGCGTATCCTTTCGGTCCCCTTTGTTCCTACGTTTTGAAAACAATGTATGATTTTAAAACTCTATAAGAACTGTTGTGTGCCACAACGATGGAATTCAAAAATTTGCCTATGAAAAGCCAAGTTAGCCACTATTGCAATGAGTATTTATGGTTTTGTGGATAAATCAGGACATTTTGAAGTTATTGTTCAACCATTTTGCCCAGTGCTGCATTAACGGGAGATAGATTTTTGCAGTATTGTAGAGCCCGGAGATCATGCCGGCTAGAGAAAGTACAATGGCTGAGCCTCAAGTGTCCGTAAAACCAAAACAAAGAGTTAAATAATGAAAGTATTGCATAAACCCTCCTCTCCTCTTGATTGTCTTCCCCCGCCCTCTCTTTGGTTAACCTCCCGCGCCGATCATCTCAACGTATTGAGTGCTTAAAGAAAAATAACCACAGAGTTGCCACCCCAGTCATCGAATTTGGCTGGGACTGGGAAGATACGCTGCTGCAGTGTCAGTGATCCCTCTTGGCAATTCAGTTGGATCTTGATTGTGAACTGCATTGAAGAATGGGGGAAACGTGTTGGTCATCTTGTATGTGCACCGCTAGTCATAAGAACTTGGGTCTTAAAGAGGAATTATTTAGTAAGGAACGGATTTTAAAACAG